ACTGAATTGATGCCATGATTCAATAAATCCGAATGAAAAATCCAAGCAATGTTATTTCAAAAAATGAAAGCAAATTTCCTTGAAGTAAAAGATAGTCTTTTTGTGTGAATTGGTAATTATATTTCGTTGTTGTACTGAATTGTTCGATCGGTTGTTTGTTTGCTTTTCATTTCCTCTCTCTTTATTTTTTTCTTTTTCTTCGAAGGCTATCAGTCCAATTTTTAATTAGGGAGGGGGTATTTTCTCTAGTACTTTATTTATTTTGGTTGTGCTCCATCTGTTAAATGACTTATCAACCAGTCAGGATAATCCCTTTTTAAAGCTAGTGTACAAACCAAGTAGGTAGGCCAAAAGTGACGAGTCACTTGACTGCGGTGCGTGCACCATTGCATCGAGTCTGTGGAAAGAAACTCAGGTTTAGATCTCAAAATTATATAGAGAACGGAAACAATATCAGTTCATGTTAAAAACATCATGACCAAAGATTAAGGCGTTGTTCCTCAAGAAACTGTGAAGTTTCCTTGTTGAATTGATCAATAAAAGCCCCTTTTAAATCGCTTTTCCATCTAGCTTGCACTTTTATTGTGCCCGTTAAAAAATATACACCAATATTGTTATATGGCTACAATAGTACGCGCGCTCTGATGGGCTGTTTTCTTGTAATAACTGGGCATTACTAGCTAGGTATCCGTGGCAAAAATACAATATGTGTTTCACTTGATAGTGGACATCCTTATGGACATCCAGTGGTCAATAGACAGCTATTAAAAGAGGCATCTGCTAACCAGTGTAGCCTGACTTTATTGCGGGCTCAAGTGTGCAACTCATTGAGGCGACGTGTTTTTTAAAGTTACTGATCCGCTGGCCAGTTGTTAGTTTTGATTGATCGCAGGCTCAGGTCCATAATGAAAACACCATAAAATAAATATAATGAAACTTATTAACCTCGTCGTTCGGTAACCACAGGGAAATCTCAGCCTCGGCCTTGATGTATTAACCTAGCTATCACTCCGGTCAATATATCAAGTCCTCGGTCTGAGATTTCCCTGCAAGGACCGAACGCCGGACGAGGTTAATAAGTTGTATGTGTTGCCCAATGGCATAACATAATTACATCAACTCTCATACTAATTCATTAATTCATACTAAGCTTTGAGAGTAGACGATGAAAATTTAATGACACGAACGTTGGAACGGATAACAAAAAAGAAAGCAGAATGAAGAAATGAAAAAATAAACACCAGTTGGTAAAGGATTAGAATTGGACGAACGAACGAAAAAAATAATGGGTGAAGGATTGAATGAATGAATGAATGAATGAATGAATGAAAGAATGAAAGAATGACAGAATGAAAGAATGAATGAATGAATGAATGAATGATTGAATGAATGAATGAATGAATGAATGAAAGAATGAAAGAATGAAAGAATGAAAGAATGAAAGAATGAATGAATGAATGAATGAATGAATGAATGAATGAATGAATGAATGAATGAATGAATGAAAGAATGAATGAATGAATGAATGAATGAATGAATGAATGAATGAATGAATGAATGAATGAATGAATGAATGAATGAATGAATGAATGAAATGAATGAATGAATGAATAAGGGAAGGAGTACAGGAAGGAAGGAAAGAAGGAAGAAAGGAATAGATGGATGTATGGGTGGAGGGAGGGAGAGTGGGATAAACGAATCACTCCCTAAAACTGAATAGACGATTACGGATTGTTTGATTGGTTGACTACATATACTTGCTATACTATAAACTAATGCGCGAACGGTAAAAGACTAAGTAACTGGAAGTGTTCGTGGTAATTATTAGCTAAAAGCCCGCCTGTTTAGGTTTTTATCGGTGTCGTGTTAATGCCCTCTAAAGCTTCTATCAACTTAGCACGATCAGCTTTGCAGATTTATGTTCTCTTGGTATATTTTTACTTATCAGATTTACTATAGATCCTACGTCCTGCCAAATATTCGCTTCCGGTCCTTTGAAGTTAATGCCATTTCAGTTGTTAAATTTTAGCTAAAACCGCTGCTAGAAAATTTCACTGTATTCAATGGACTAAAGATACGGAGAGATTATTGAAATAAGCTTCCTTTTCAAAAAGGCCTCTTTTTTGGGCTATTACTTTTTTTTTCGATTCTTAGTCTTTTGCCTGGTATACGTCTTCTTCATCAGCTCTTGTAGATCCATTCGGTGATAATATTTTTCTTTATGGCTCTTTCATTTTACTCAGTTTAGACTGTTTATGAAAGTTGCTCTTTCTGCCAAGTTTCGGTTACAACTTGGTGTTACGGTGCAAGAATTTATGCTAATTAGTATATGCCAATGTCTATGTCATATAATGATAGTATCATGGAGTCATGGTTTCAAAGGTCTCATGGTGTCAATGGTTTCATGGTTTCATAGGTTTCGTGGTGTCAATAGTTTCATGGTTTCATAGGTTTCGTGGTGTCCATGGTTTCATGGTTTCTTAGGTTTCGTGGTGTCATTGGTTTCATGGTTTCTTAGGTTTCGTGGTGTCAATGGTTTCATGGTTTCATAGGTTTCGTGGTGTCAATGGTTTCATGGTTTCATAGGTTTCGTGGTGTCCATGGTTTCATGGTTACATAGGTTTCGTGGTGTCAATGGTTTCATGGTTTCATAGGTTTCGTGGTGTCCATGGTTTCCACGAGACCTATGAAACCATGACTCCATGATACTATCATTATGACATAGATATTGGCATATACTAATTAGCATAAATTCGTGCACCGTAACACCAAGTAATAACCCAAGTTTCGATGTATTCATAGATCATACGCTTTGTGTTTTAGACCCTCTCTTGTAAATATACAACTTTTTTCCACTAACTATAATATATATGCGAGAATTAATAGCTGCTGGTGGCCTGCGTGATAATTCAGGGGCACCCAACTACAGGTTTCTCCTAAAAGTACATTGAAAACGCTTTTTAGACTACATATACGTACAGCTCAGATTACTTTTACACTTCTTGACATTTCATTCTAAGCGGTGCTAATAAATTTTTATTTATCGGTGTCATCCTAGGGTAACTTAAGCCTTTTTTGAATTTACAATGGCCTCAGTATATTTTCTCGAAAACTTTACGAAGGTAAGAATTTTTCCGAATATCACCAGTTACAGTGGATAAGATTGCATGGTAATTTCGCAAAGAATCCCAGTTGCGTCAAAACTAGTATTCCAGTCAAAAAGTATCGGCGATCTGATACATTGAAAAAAAACAAACAAACAAAAAAGAGCTAGAGCTTACCTTTCTTCTATGGCTCTTAGCCTTTTTTGTACCTCCGACAGACTGACCATCGCATTATTTTAAGCTGATTTTCGCTGACGATGCAACAAGGTACGTTTTTTACCATCGCCAATTTTAGCATCATGATCAACCACTTGGTCGACAATTTGTTCTCTTTCACTTTGCTCCGACTGAGTTTCATTCGTGGCCGGCAGAGAGGTGAACCAAAATGGCACGGCACATCACAAACAAATCCACGAGACGCAGGCCGTAACATGTCGGGGAAGCGTTCATGGCGACTGGATGAGTCAAAACAATGGGAGTCCATAGAAACGCAATTTTTATAGTTAGACTCGACAAATCCTTCTTGTTGCAATAAGTTGAATTGTAGCTTAATTTGCTCACTGAGTGTCTTTTCATCTCAGTTTGATCTTTTTACAATCATTCACTTCCAGTACTAGTGTCCTAAAAAAGATGAATTTAATTAATTGCATTGAATTCAAATTAAGAAAATATGGGATTTGTTGAGATCGTGGGAGAGAGCAAGTCTGAACTGAATACCTCCTTACCATGAAATATTTTGTGACGTCATCGCTTGTTTACTTTTGACTTTAACCCATTCGCCCCAGGGAAGCTAGTCGAGCAGTTTTCTAGGCATTGTCTGCCTGTAAAGAGCTAAAGTGTACCACAAAGTTGTTTGCAGATCGTACATTTCGCAACCTTCTGATTCACATGCAAAATATCAGCTTGCCAAGCTAGAGTATGCGCAGAAATCAAAGTTTTTGGCTTTCAAAGTGACACAGCAGTCTTGTCTTTTTCTTTTTGCTTTCTTTCCTTCCCTCATCTTTCGCTTTTCCTGCCATATTTTTTTTTCTCTTGCTGGGCATTTAGTAGGCTTCATTTTGGTGGGAAAAAAACGTTTTTGGGAAAGCTATAATTTAGTATTTTGGGATTTCAGTTTCTCAAGTTGAATATTGGTTGCTCAACTTACAAGTTGTGTATACAATTAGAATTCAGCGCGCTCAATTTTCAAGGACGAGTGATCATGTTAAAAGTTGGGAGTTTAAGTTGAATTATTAACTTTGAATATTGAAACGTGAAGTTGAAAGTTGGGTGCTCTAACTTAATGTTAGCCACGCTCAAGTTGAATGTTAAGTACTCAAGTTGATTTTTGGCGGGCATTGAACACCATATATATCTCGACCAGACATCCATATTTTGGGACCATGTGATTTCCCGCGTCCCTTTTCATGGGAGGAAGAGAGGGGGTACTGGGAAGGAAGATGGTTTGACGTTTGAAAAACGCTGAAAACATTGGTCTATTTAGTGGCTAGTAGCTTCGCCGGTATTGAAATGCGACTGTGTAAGTCATGAGTGCAAAAAATCATTTCATTTATTTTGATAATTCAACAGTTACCAAGCGAACAGATTCTAAATGCTGACGTTAGTAGCTTATCATGTTAAGCGATTGAACTCTTTAGCCCTTTCATCATGCAGCAAAGGAGACAAATTTCTTCTTGCCATGGATTTACCAATTAATTGATTTTATGATTTACTCAAGCTACTTTCCTCCAACGTGTCTGGCTGAACTGAGACCCTGAATCAGCAACTGAAAATAAGCTGCTTTAAGCAGATTATGTGTTTAAATTTTCTGACGACTAGGTTTTCAAATCAATACAGTTCATTTTAAAAATCACATTTTGCCCCTTGAAACCCACAGTAGAAAAAACATTCTTTCTTTCACTTGGTGCACACAGCACAAGTCAACTCTCGACCATTGACATATGGACCACACGGTAAGCTGCCACACTGTCCTTCCACAAGGTAGAGTAATGCGCCATTCTTGTTCGCCTGGGTGCCAGAGATAGACTCAGCGTCTTTGTCAACGCAGATGAAATCACTTTGCTTCTTGTGGGAATAATATGCACTCATCAGGTACCCATGATATTCTTCGGTCCATCCAGTGGGGCAATCGTTCCTTGCAGGCATCATCAGTATCGAGCCACGTGATTTGACAAAGCAGACAACGCAAGGTGGATCGTGTTGGTTAAGACTTTTCTTGAATGGGTTAAACGAGAGTTTGTACTCAGCGCCATATACGTATCCGCCACCCTGGTGACCATCTTTGTACTTGTCGTACTTTGGAGTCTTTGGAAGGCAAAGGTAATTCACTCCACCTCCAATGTGATTGAAATACTCTCCACATGATACCTAATAAGTAGAAAAGTTAGGGATAAGTTAACTCAATTCACCTAAAAACACTGAAAACATCCATTATGACGTTAAGTGAATAACATGTGAATTTAGAAATTCCAATCATGAAGAATAATACGTTCAAACTTGTAAGTAACAGTGTTGCGAACCATCTTCGTGTTAATGTTCTGAAAAACGCATTAACTTGTGGTAGAACTTAATAGCTCTGCTGGGCAATGTACCTTTGGTACTAAAAGGCTACCAAAATATTATATAAGCTTCAAAATTAAAACTTGAATTATAATTAGAGGTATGAGGGATTCATAAAATCCTTGAACATGCTAAATCCGTCCCGTTGTTAGAGTAAAGAAAATGACGAGATATTGTCATCAATTTGTTTATGTTTCCTTGTTACTTTGATTTTGCTTTTGTTGCATACATGAATTAAATGAAGGACAAAGTCATCCCCTTTTTGTGCCTTTATAGACAATCTGAGCACCATTCGGGCATGAGGTCTTTCCCCAGCGAACATACTTCACCCCAGAACTGGCAGCTTGTCCTTTATCGCCTTTAACTCCCTGAGCTCCCTTATCCCCTTTAGGACCTAGAGGGACAGTCACAATTACGATAATCATTAACAATAACATTTATTCTTATGACAATGTCTATCATATGGCAATACTTCAGTGAAAATTTGCATTTTGATTAGTTAAGATCAGAAGAATAATATCAACAAAAGCTGAGAGGCGCATTACAAAAGCTAAACATTAGACATTAACTTGAGTTTATCACGGACTAATTTGATGATATAAGTGTGAAGATGAGGTAAGCTTTCTCACCTTGCTTTCTTCTTACTGACAGAACTATAACTAATTAAGAGAGATAGTACAGCTGTATTAAAATGTGCACCTCCATTTAACAACCTCATTTATAATTTGAAATAGTCCATTGGTTTTCTTAATGACCTCCTAGTTAAATTAGCTTTTATATATTTTCTTTGAGGCAGCCCTAAACCTTACAAAAAGTAGACAACTGGTAACGCCGACATAAAGCAGAAGGCGAATCTTGCTTACCTCTTACTCCTGGTTTCCCTGGGGGTCCAGGTGGTCCCATTGATTGTTTTCCGTTATTGCGGCCATCTCGCACTGAAACACGTATAGATTTAAGAGATACAACATGTAATATTGTTCAAATTAAATAACAATAGCTAGAGATATTTAGGCGTTACATTGCGTCATTTTATTAAATCAAAGGGGCTTAATGGATGGTCTAAAAATCCGAATGCACCATATCCAACATTGGAAAAATGAAACCAAATTTTCTTAAAGTAATAGACCTTATAATTGCGAGAGAACTGGGAATCGTTTAGATGTTGTTTGTTTGTTTGTTTGTTTTTGTTTTCTCTTTTGTGGTTCGTTATTTAGTTCGTTCGTTCGTTCGTTTGTCTGTTTGTTTGTTTTTTTGCTTGTTTTTTTTTTTTTTTTCGCCAAAGGCTGTCAGTCCAATTTTTAGTTTAGGCAGCATTTGATTGTGCTCTGTTATACAATCAATTGGCTGGTCACTTTGGCCATTCCCTTTTTTAACACTAGTGTACAAACCAAGTAGGTAGGACAATAGTGACGAGTCACTTGAGTGCGGTGTTTGCAACAATGCGTCGAGTCTGTAGAAAGATAAATAACCAAAAATTAACAAGAAACTTTGAAGTTTTCATGGATAATTGATTAATTCACTAACAGTATACGCACCGTTTTATAAACCGCTTTTACATCTCTTGAAGTCGCTTTTCCATCAAGCTTGCACTTTTATTGTGTCTGTCAAGAAAAAAAAACTCAAAATAAGCCACTGTTCGAACACAAGCGTTAAATAATAATTATATTTACATTACCTCTGACACGCATCGCTATCAGGTATAAAATCCCAACTGTTACAGACTAGCAGTCATCCTTAATTCGTAACTTAATTCTTATACTTAGCTTTGGATTGGTCAGGAATAAAGCAAAACAAATGTCATTGCAATTGAGATTCGACGATGAACCTATAATGAAACGAACGTTACAACGGATAACGAGAAAAAATAAACCTACGGAGAGATGAAAATGAAGGAAAAAGAAGGAAATGGTAAAGGATTAGGAATGGACGGACGAACGAACGAACGAACGAATGAACGAACAAACGAACGAACGAACGAGTGAATGAATGAATGAATGAATGAATGAATGAATGAATGAATGAATGAATGAATGAATGAATGAATGAGTGAATGAATGAATGAGTGAATGAATGAATGAATGAATGGATACGATGGATGGATGGATGGATGGATGGATGGATGCACGAATGAATGAATGAATACAGGAAGGAAGGAAAGAAGGAAGAAAGGAATGGATAGAAGGAGGGAGGGAGGGATAAACTAATCACCGCCGGAAACTAAATAAATAATCGCGGGTTTTTTGATTGGTTGACTTAATTTGCTATACTTACTATGAATTAATGCGCGACTGGTGAAAGACTAACAGGAAGTGTTCGTGGTGGTTAATTATTAGCTACAAGCCTGCCCTGTTTAGGTTTTTATCGGTGTCGTGTTAATGTCTACCAAAGTTTATATCAACTTAACACGATCAGCTTTGCAGATTTATGTTCTCTTGGTATATTTTTGCTTATCAGATTTCCTTTAGATCCTACGTCCTGCGAAATATTCGCCTGCGGTCCTTTGAAGTTAATGCCATCTCAGCTTTTAGATTTTAGCTAAAACCCCTGCTAGAAAATTTCACTGTATTCAATGGACTAAAGATACGGAGAGATCGATTATTGAAAAAAGCTTCCTTTTCAAAAAGGCCTCTTTTTTGGGCTATTACTTTTTTTCGATTCTTTGTGTTTTGCCTGGTATACGTCTTCTTCATCAGCCCTTATGGATCCATTCGGTGATAATATTTTTCTTTATGGCTCTTTCATTTTACTCAGTTTAGACTGTTTATGAAAGTTGCTCTTTCTGCCAAGTTTCGATGTCTCCATAGATCATACGCCTTGTGTTTTAGACGCTCTCTTGCAAATATACAACTTTTTTCCACTAACTATAATATATATGCGAGAATTAATAGCTGCTGGTGGCCGGCGTGATAGTTCAGGGCACCAAACAACGGGTTTCTCCCAAAAATACATTGAAAACGCTTTTTAGACTATAAATACGTACAGATTACTTTTACATCTCTTGACATTTCATTCTAAGCGGTGCTAGTAAATTTAAATCCGTTCGGTGTCATCCTAGGGCAACTCAAGCCTTTATTGAATTTACAATGACCTCAGTATATTTTCTCGAAAACTTTACGAAGGTGAGAATTTTTCCGAATATCAGCAGTTATAGTTGATAAGACTGCGCGGTAATTTCGCAAAGAATCTCAGTTGCGTAAAAACTAGTGTTCCAGTCAAAAAGTATCACCGATCTCATAAATTGAAAAGAAAAACCGGCAAACGAAGAGCTTACCTTTCTTCTATGGCTCTCAGCCTTTTTTGTACCTCCGACAGACTGACCATCACATTATTTTTAGCTGATTTTCGCTGACGATGCAACAAGGTACGTTTTTCACCATCATCAAACACTCGGTCAACAATTTGTTCTCTTTGACTTTGCTCGGACCGAATTTCATTAGTGGCAGAGAGGTGAACCAAAATGGCACAGCACATCACAAACAAAGCCACGAGACGCAAACTGTAACGTGTAATTACTGTCGGGGAAGCTTTCATGGCGACTGGATGAGTCAGTGCAACGAATAATCCTTTGAATTTGACGCAGAAACAAATGAGCCTTTCACTTACACCACAACTGAAAAGCTGTGATATATAGTAGCCAGATATCATAGGAAAGAACATCCGCCAAGTTAATATAAGCATGAAATTTTTCGCGCTTGTGACGCAACACAGTCAGAAGGAAGTAAAAATGGAAGGGTGGGGTGAGGTGGAGGGAAGGGTTTGGGGTCGGGGATTGGTGCACTGTCAAGTAACGCAATTTTTTATGGAATGAGGGTATTAACTCGGCAGGTAGAACCCCCTTCAATTTAGTTAGTATAGGTTAATTTGAATACTCTTTCATCCGACATGTACTATGGTGCGTGATTCCCAATTCAATTTGCATCAATTGTCGAATGGCATAATCAAATATAGTGTCTTTACATGCATATGATTCCAGTGTTTTTACGGACGATAAAAACAACTTTTAATAAAAAATGCATCCATACTAAGTTCTGAAGAATTGTTAATTTTATTTATCTTTTATACAGCACTGCGTTCTTATCACACTGTATTGGCTCTACCTGTAATACTACTGTCACTAAAAGTAAATACCATATGGCAGTTTTTGATTAGCATTTTGTCACGGCGCGATGGAAAAAAGCGAACTAAAATACGGAAGTAAAATAGTTGCATCTTGCTGAAACGATTGATTTTTGTTTAACATTGTATATGAAAAACCATTAACAGTAATCGAAATACATGAACATGATTCAGATGATTGTGCGGTCAGTCACCTGAGGAAAGCGAACTTATTAGTAATACTTTATCCGTACACAGACAGGAGAAAAGAGATGACTATGCCTATTTTAAATAAAGGGATAACCTGATTTTTCTGGTTCGAGAGCGCACTAAAGTTGACCGTAACTAAAAAAAAGAACTAAAAGCGGGTTATCCTGTGGCACGTTAACCTGTCATCAGTCGATCCTTCTTAGTTTTTCTGACCTTCCAATAATTCTTAACCTGCGAATACAGCCGCCGCCGGAAACGTTCAGCGGAAACATCCATTCAATGTGCGGGAAATGAAAGAATGAGAAACGGCTGTATTCGCAGGCTAGACAATTTCGAACCGCCTTCTCCCAGTGACAGTAGCGCGATGGAAAGTATTGAGCTCGACGAAATGAGTTTAGAATTGTCAGGAGCC